GAGGCTTACCTCAAGTGCCTATACACTAACTTGCAGATCTTGGGCCACAAGCAAGGAGAACTGAAACTCCACGGGCAATCACAAGGCTGTGAACATGACTGGAATCACAAAGAACTGGTGGGAGAGCACTGGGGCATGGTTACTGATGGGTATAGTTGGCTTCAGATGGATGGGGGGTGGGAGAGAAGAGTGGCACTCTAAATAAACGAGTTCCTGGATTGCACTAAGTATGAAACAGGAGTGTCTGCAGATAGTCTCTGGGATAGGATTGGAAAAGAAAGCTATCTTTGTGATGTTATAGCGGGGGTTTGCTAAAGACCATGCGTCCAAAAGGATGAAGTGGACGACTTTCTGCAACGACAAGCAGAAGTCTCCTGGCCACAGGCCCTTATTCTCACAGTGGATTTCAACTATCCAAACAGCCAGCCGCTCTAGACAATCCAGGAGATTTCTAGACTATGCTGGTGACCTTTTACTAATGCAGCTGTTGGAGAATCCAACCAACCAACGGTTGGACTGTACTCTACTTGACCTGTTGCTCATCAAACAGTAAAGAACTGGTGACAAATCTGGTCAGAGAAGGCAGCTTCGGTTGCAGTGACCATGATGCAATTAAGGTCAGGATTCAAAGGAAGGGTAGAAAGATAAGCAGCACGGACAACACCCAGGACTTAGGAGAGCAGACTTCAACTTCTTTAGAGGATTGCTAGACAGAATCCCCTGAAAAACTGCCATCAGAGCAAAAGTGTCCAGGAAAGCCAACTGATTTAAAAAAACAAACAAACAAACAAAACTTTCAGAGTTTGAGAATAAATCATCTCATTGTGCAGAAGACCACAAAATTTGGTAGGTCAGCTTGGCTAAACAAGGAGCTTCTAAATGAAACAAAAATGCAAAAAGGGAGCATGTAAGAAGTAGAGTCAAGGACAGGATACAAAGGAAGAATATAAAAGCACTGCTTTGGCACAAAGGGATGAAATTAGGAAGGCCAAAGGCCAGCTGGAGCTAAAGCAAGCAAGGAAAATAAAGGGTAAAATGAATGGATTCTACAAGTATTCTAGCAGCAAAGGGAAGTTCAGAGAAAACACATGTCTGTTGCTGAAGAGGAGAGACGACTGAATTGCAGATGATACGGAGAAGGCTGAAACACTCAATGTCTTGTTTGCCCAAGTTGTCACGTGCAAAGCTTGCTCCTGAATTCCCAAACGTATGCTTGCATAACAGCATGCTTTGGGAAGGAGAGGGGAGGAGGGGAGCAATAAAGCTATGGGGCCAAATGGGTGTCTCCTATTTAGAGGAGTAGAATTCAGGACTATCCAGCTTCAGTGCCTCTCCTTCATTCATCTAGACCACAAGTGCCCTATTTAGAGACCTAACAAGAATTCACAGCCTCAGCTGACATTAAGTTGAAGCTTAGATTATTCAGTAACCTAGTAATCAGACCTGAGGTTTCTGGGAATGCAGATAATGAGGAACACACCAAGTGTGGGCACATGTCACATTGCCCAGTGTCTGAGAAGAGACAGGCATACAGCAAAGTATATGCAGCGTTTATAGCATGCAACTTAACCCCACATTTCTTCTGTTCTTTCCCGGTAGTCTTTTGCTCAATCTTTAGCCACTTTCCAACTTCTGAATTAAATTATATAGGTTAAACACAAAAACATCCTCTCTACAGAATCCCTGACCTTTTTCACAGAAATGTTGAAAAGAATTACTTAATTAAAAGTGGAATGAAATTATTCGGAAACCTATGTTCCCTAAAATTCAAGTGCTTCATTTTGCAACAGTTGTAACTTTCAAAACACAGCAAAAAAACCCAAAAGACACTGACGTGTAACATATAAGAAATATGATAAAATAAAACCTGGGCATGCATAACAATGGTTTGAAGAATGATCTTGGAACTGCTCTTCTACAACATATGCTACCAAAGCTTGAGCTACAGTTAACTACAGTGCCAGGAAAAAACTATTTTCTGTGAACTACAAAACTGAGGAGAACGTATAATACTGAAACAAGCAATTATATATACCCATGGAGCCTAACTTTGCAGGCTCCGTGAAAACCAAGACAAAAAGCTATGCTGACTCTTTTTATAAGTCCGGGGGTTTAAATGAAAGTGATTTGAACTGATTGTGTTAAAGGAAATAAAAGAACAACTTTGGTGGATTTCTACTGATTAGATCAATACTATTAAAGGCAAGTAAAAAGCCAAGTATACCCCCAAACATATGACTTCTGGTTTCCAAAACAACTGGCACAGATTGGCTTAGGGTCACACCATTCATTCAGAGCTGATTAGCCATATCCGCACTTCATAATATTTGTTCCAGATTGCCTCTAACTCTTAAGTGGTACCCCTGTGACTCTCAAAACATAATTTCTGTTATTGTGATGTTTCTTCAGCTCAGTGGGGCTGAAATAAGGGGAGGGTTGCGCTGCAGCTTACCATCGTGATGTTTTTTACAGTACAATGCCGAGTCTTCAATGCATACCCAGGAATACGGCACGAACACATAGCAGAATATTTCACAGTATAGGACCTTGTTGGAAAGAGCCAACTTCTCCAGATCACCTGTAGGAAACCATCTCAGAACCATATCCTAGTCTGGCCACAGGGAACTAGCTGGCTTGTTCCAAAACAGGACTGGAAAGCAACCTAACGTACACGCTGTGTAGAGTTGAGCAGCAGCCAGCAGATTAACGGCTCAGACATGTAAACAAGTTGCTGTGCATCAACAACTTCATCTTTGACAACTGTCCACGTCCTCCTGCTTATCCAGCAACAAATGCACAACTCCTCAGGTTTGCGTAACCCTCTTTCACTGTGGATTCACCTAAATTTATCACAGGCTGAGCGCTCACACTTCAGCATTACTGAGGTAAACTGCGCATCTGAATGATCGTCAGCGTCCAATGCATGCTGGTGCAAATGTTGGTGACTCCTTTGTTTGGAATATACTTTGTTTATCAGATCAAATAAATTTGAACAGACTCCTCTCCTTGGCATTTGCAAAGGGTATGTTCCTATTTCTCAGAAACATCAAATCCTTGCTACAAACAATAGCAATATCAAAATATCCCAAAATAAAGTTCACAAATA